AAGAAATCGTCCCTGCTCACCTCAGCTGAGTATGCACTGAGTTACTTTATATCTTGTCACTCTATTTTACTTTCTTGCATAGCACTTGCCATTTTCTCGTATCTTCTATGCATGGGGTATGTGGCTTATTATCTATTCTCCCCAAATCTTACTAAACAGCATGGAAGCTGTGAAAGGGTCGATTGCGTATCTTGTTCAGTGTTTTATTCCAGCCTCTCTAACAGTGCCTGGCCTGGCACATGGTGAGATAGAAAGAGTGAGCTGGGTGGGGTGGTGGTACTGGAGACAGAAGGAGAGAGGGAGGATTCAAACCTAGGTACATCTTATGCCTAGATTTTCACCACTGGGTTGCTCTTAAAAAAATGTTCTACAAGTATTAAATAGAGTTTAAAGTACCACTTTGATTACCAGAAGAGCAATCTGTGATTTAAAAGATAGAAGATAAATAAAAAAATTTTTTTGGTTGTTTTCTGGGTATCACCAGAGACTCCATGATGAATCTGCATAGTTCTGAGAAGAACCCTAATAGGGTTCCAATGAAGCTTTGTAAATTCAAAAAAGTCTTCCAGAGAGATTATTCAAGCCACTTATTTTTGGTTTCCATTCCTTTCTTTTCCAAGCCATATGTGCATCTAAACTGAGGAAGTTGTGGTGTTGGGAAAAAACCACTTAGTTAAACACAAATGTGAAAGCAGATGCAAGTGAAAATAGAACAAGAAAGCACTGGAGGTGATATTCCAACTTACAGAAAAATAGCAAAGGATTTCAGGGTAGTCTCATTTCTTGGTAGGTTTTTATAAGAGATCGAGTGAGTTGATCTCTTCTTGGCAATGTTCTTATCAACATGTAACATAAGATCTATGTGGGAAGATTCCGCCAGTTCCTGAAACTCGTTTTAGAAAGTTTGTTAACATAAAACTTAAAATGTTCAATGGTGTAGAAGATAGAGTTCTAAGGTGGTACCTGTAACTTCTGCTCCCTATTTCATACCCTGTGTAGCTTCCTGTTTGATAGGGGTATGATCTTTGACTTCTTCTAGATGACAAAATTTGGGAAACACGAAGGGATTTTTTCAGATGTAATTAAAGTCATGAGTCTACTTTGACATAATAAAAATGGTGGCTGGGTCTGTGCCTCTCCTGAAGGCTTGATGACATAAACAGCCATGTTGAAGACACTCATGTGATAAGTAATTGCATGAGGTGTCAATGTGGGACCCTCAGTTCTATAGCCTCGTAGGAATTCTTCCAATACCATGAATGAGCCTGGAAGCAGGTTCTGCCCCAGCTGAGCCTCCAGTTGAAAATTCAGCCTGGTCAAGACCTTGATCTCAGCCTTGTGAGACCCTGAGCAGAGAGACAGTTGAGTCACGCCCAGACTCACGACTCATAGAAACTCGGAGATAGTAAATGTATCATTTAAAGCTGCTAACTTTTTGCAATTTATAGAGAACTAATACATGTAGCTTCAAAATGAAGAGCTAATGTGAGGCCTTGTACTTGGACAATTGGTTCCTAGCCATTTTCTATCTCCTCCCCACTTTGTTTCCCTTAGTGCAGCTGGAGTGATTATTTTAAGAACGCAAATATGGGGACCAGCAGATGGCGTAGCAGTTATGTCACTGGACTCCTACATGGTTGATGGTGGTTCACGTCCTGGACCGAGTGGCTTGAAAAATCACACTGTGTGTGTGTGTGTGTGTGTGTGTGCATGCCCAAGATTCCAGGAGGAGAGGGAAGAAGGGATTGCAGCATGGTCATTCCCACGGGGGGAGGTGATTTCTCACTTTCCCTCTCACTGTGTCTGCCTCTCTACAGCGAGTATGTAGGCCCTAAGGCAAAAACCTCTGGGAAAGAAAGCAAATATGGCATCCTCTTTGCCTGAAACTCATATATGGTTTCCACTGATTTCTGGAAAAAACAGAACCTCGGATATTGCCACGCACCATCTGTCCTTATTACAGCCTGCATTGCCTTTTGATCTCTGTGCTCTGGCCATGGCCTTATTTAGGCTCTTGGGTCCTTGATGCTCTGGCCACAGGGCCTCAGTGCTGGCTGCTCTCCCTGCTTGCAGTATTTCCCATCCCTTCCCTCACTTACCACTCATTCGTCCCATCCTTTCTTCAGATCTCACCTCTGTTGTCATTTCCTCAGCTAATCATTGCCCTGATTTCCCCAGTTAGGTCTATCACCGCTTTCATATGGTGACGGAAATAAAAATAATTAATTAATGCACGAATCTGAGTGACCTAGGCCTGGAGAGGAAGTGATCAGGTACAGGGGTTCCTTTTATTTGATTTTGAGAGAGAATTTAGTGAAGAGCTTCCCATTGGCCTGGCCCAAAAAGGTGGGACACATGGGGGAGGGCTTGTGGGTTTGGGGAAGGAATTAGGAAAG